CGGGGGCAAGATGTTCCAAAGGGCGGGGGCCACAGCAGAGAAGGCCTGCCTTCTGGACCCCGCTAATCGAAGTTCTTTTACCGCAAATGCAGAAAAATAGTAAAAGGTGAGGATTAGGAACAGACAACATGGTGGGCAGATAAACAGAAGCAGCTTTTTAATATAAATTCATGAGAGAAACTGCAAGGATTAACCAATCATGACTACATAACAACTTCAAGGGAGTGGTCAACTCATATTATACGTATGAACCAGGAATATGAAGGATACAATGGAGGAATATGCCAAAGAAAAGGCTGGTAATTGAAGTGCTACAAAATCTGCAGCAAATGGGTTAGTAATGATGAAAACTAGATATCAATAGGGGAAAAACATTTTTTTTAAAATTCCATATCAAAGAGCAAAGAAAGCACAAAACACAGTAGAGGAATCTTATATAAAGATAATGTACATTAAACACTGGGTTCACATAACACACTTAAACCTGAACCTGGGTTAGTGTAATTGCTGTATTCTCATTATGTTGTACCCAAATAAACTATACATGGCTTATTATGATAGATTGTTTCACATAGCATCCTAAGAAAATGGCTTGTTTTCCACAAATGCTGAATTAAAAGTTCCCCACTCCTTATTACTCCCTTGCCAGTAGCCTTGGTTAGGTCAAGAGTGGTGATACATATGACCTTGCCAAGTTTTTCAACACAATCATCAGTTTGGGGAAGTAGATAGGCATCATATTCCACAACAGAGTTCAAGCAGTTGTTTACAAGCAAGAAGGGGATTGACCATTCACTATCAAGAGTCTCAATTATACCTTCCTGGAGCATGTACTGGATTTTCTCTTCTGCCTGCTGTTGGATATTGTTGGGATCTGAAATTGTGGTATAGGGTTCTTAACTTATGATCCAGTGGGAAACCAAATTTTAACAATTCATCATTCCAGAATGTTCTAAGCTCAAATCAGCATTGGAAGTTGTACAGTAAGCCCCCCCCCCCAAAATAGGATTAAGAACCTATTAAGGGGGAGATGGCCAAATGTAATAAATAAATAAATAGGAATTATATAGTTCAATATGACCCAGTGCAGTTGTAATATAGATCAGTTTAAAATACTGCTAAGTGAAACACAGAAGAACTCATAGCTTCCTATCAATGTGGGAAAGGAAAACTAAAAGGAGGACCTCATAAAACTGCCTTAGGCAGGGTGTCTGACGTGTTCGGCTTTAAAGTCATAATCTCATCTGATTACTTTGCTGTTACATAGTTTGCTGTTTCAGTCTGTTTTCTGTTACCCAGACTAATACTTAAAACTATTTTGCTCTATTTCCTCAAAGGTTTGTATAACTGTATATGAAATTAAGAAATTGATTCTGTTACAAAGATTTTAAACCTGAGAAAAAGCAGGATTGGCCTTATATACTTGTCTAACGAGATGAATAGATTTAGGGTTAGTTTAGGGGTCTAAAACTATGAGTTTGGATCCCTCTCCTGGAGATGATGAGCAATTTAGAGGGATGGTTTAAACCTGAAAAGGCAAAGTAGAAGCACTGTCAAAACTTGTCTGGGCTTTGTTCCTTGTTTTCACTGCACAAGCCGCACTGGCAGTTGCAACATAGCCTGCAATGAATTCAAACTATAAAAAGTAGGTAACAATAACTTCAATATTTTTAGATATAAAATTAAGAAAAAGCTCAAGGCTTGTGGACCTCCAGAATTAAAATAACATTTCCCTTAGGATGCTTCTCCAGTCCCAGGGTAAGTTACTGTATTTAAACTATTTTCTTTCTTTTCTTACCCCAGTCTGTACCATCTCCTGAACTTCTGGATTCCCCATCCCCTTCATCAGATGTAGCTAAGAAATCAAACTCCTTCAGGGCTTCTTCAGTATCTCTGTCTTCATTGTTCTCAGGCAGCACTCTTTTTCTCACAATCTATGAGAGGCAGAAATTCTAATCTCATATGTGCTATTTTTCTCATTTTTAAATCTTTTTTTAAATTTATACTTCAAATTTGTCACCGCCCATCTCACTGTGGGGTGACTCTGGATGAATTTTTGCACCTTTTTTAAACACATAATTTTACATGTAAAAAACAGATACGTAATTCATTTTTAACACCAGCTAGTAAAATAAGGATTAATTAGCTAGTCAAGTATTGGCTAATATTTGACCTAAGATTTACCCCATGCTTTGAACAGGTTCTTAAGTATTATAATCTCTATTTGTATCATATAAATCTGGGTACACCAATGAGCGCTTAAGTAATTCCCATAGTGCCAATCAGACTCTCTAAGTTATCTGGTATGGCAAAACAAAGTGCCAACCTCTAACATAATTTCTCTTAATTAGAAAGCCTATGGGTGCCAGAGGTATTCTTAGAAAATATAAAGAAAGGCTAACCAAAATCCATACCTTTATTTGAAACTATGTCTACTTGCCTAGAAAAAAAGACAAAGATAATCCAAGAGTTGCAGGGATCAACCTAGGATCTGGAGGGGATGATGAGAAACAACCTCACCAGTCTGCCTTCGGACTAGCCATGTTACTAAGCAGTCATTTGGGGAACAGTTAAGCCTCTCATAATGACAACCATTTTGTGTGAGTACCCACAACAGAATCTTGAAAAGTATGCTTTGGTTGGGAACCTTAGAATAAATGTAGACCTCAACACTCACAAGGAAGCCAGCTAGGCTCTTAACTCTCATATAAAGTTCAATATACCTGCATAGTTCTTTGTCTTCTTCCTCTTCTGCAAGTCTATCTCAAAAACACCCATAAAACAACCTATTTAGATTGGAAAACTCATTACTGAAGGAATATTTGGACTGCTCTATACAGGCATGTTCACCGATCAGCTTGCAAGTGTTTTACAATTAAACTTTTAAATATGTGTGTTTTGAATGATCAAATGCCCTTTGGTACAAGCTTCATTTTACTATTTTGTTTTCACCCCACCGTTGATGTGTCCATGACTGTTCGCTCTCTTCCATCAATATCATCATCTTCATCTTCATCGCTAAATTCTGCAGCAGCATTTTCAAGGAATTTAAATGTTTCTAGCAGAGAGGCAGAATCTGTCAAATCTGGTTTCCTAGACAAAAATTAAAACAGCAACACAAATCATTTTATCTGAGTGCTTCTTTTCACTGAGCTTTATAAAATCCAACAACATACATAAAAAAAATTCACTATTCTTTGCTGGATCTACATACTTAAAAATAGAAAACATAGAGCACTATATATAGTAATATCAGAAGAGTCTAGAATTTACCTTTGGTAGGATCTAAAGATTCTTGATTTTAAGCTTACCATTACCAAGTGGAGGGGAAAGCTATTTTTGCTAATTTTCTCCTTCACCTCAGAATCAATTTCAAAGGTTTGGAGGACCTCCAGAACCATGTGGGAAGTGGCACAAGCAGCCACAAGGACAAGGGAAAACCAGAAATTACCCAGTTCAACATCAGCTGCCTCTGCCCAACCCCAGGCCCTTCCATTCATCTTTAGATCCTTTTTTTACCGTGTTTTACTCATTACAATTGATAACAATTGTGAAACTGAACATAGTGTAAAAGAGAAAATATACAGAGACATGGCTGCTAATGACAGCACTTTTGAAAATAAACATACATGAAATTGTAACAGTGCTTCTGTCACTAAACAGGAAGCTCAAAATGGTCACTTTTTACCTGATATCTTTTTATCTTAAGATTAATCAAGAATATATTTGATGTTTAAAGCTACAGATTTTTCTAAATTATTTGAGCTTGTTTAAAGATAAAAATAACTAAACTGGGTTTCATTCTTCTATGTACACAATGAAGGGCACTTGAGGGTAAGAAGAAAATAACTGAAGCTATGACAACCACAGTTCTCCCAATACTTAAATTTACTGAAAGAAATCTCTCCCGCCATGCTTTATTTTCACACCTAGGATCTATAACATGCACGTCACAGTTAGTTCTTTTTTTGAAAAGCACATACTACACAATTAATTGAAATAATTCAGAGTCAGCTTTACACATATTACAGGACATTTTGCTGGATCCAGAGTTTCAGTAATTTTATTCTTGGAACATATACAGAATCTATAAGCTTACTACCATTAATTTTTCAATTCAGCTTATTAGATAGTATTAACTTATACTCAACTAAAACTGGGCAAGTATTTGTACTGTATACCCTATTTCATATATGTATTTACTGTATACCCTATCTCTTATATATATATATATATATA